CATAAACCTAACTTTTCAAGTATTACACATCAAAACATACCCTTTCAAACACCTCTACATAAACCTAACTTTTCAAGTATTACACATCAAAACATACCCTTTCAAACACCTCTACATAAACCTAACTTTTCAAGTATTACACATCAAATCATACCCTTTCAAACACCTCTACATAAACCTAACTTTTCAAGTATTAACATCAAATCATATCCTTTCAAACACCTCTACATAAACCTAACTTTTCAAGTATTAACATCAAATCATACCCTTTCAAACATTTCTATCAGTTTTATTCCTTGAATAGCAACCGTCAAAACTTACTGTTTAACCTTTACCTTTCAAAACATATTCATGTCCTCCAGTGGCACAGCGGTATGTTTGCGGACTTACAACACTAGAATCCGGGTTTCGATACCCATGGCGGGCAGAGCATAGATAGCCCATTGTATAGCTTTGTGCTTAATTAAAAACAAATATATTATTTAAATAATACCTACCTCTTCAAATTATCTTGTCCAAGTTTACTCCCTATACTCTAGTTTATAAAATAAATGATTGAACTAGGACATAATGACCCACAATTTAGAGGTCAAATTTTCTACTTTAACAGCTCAAAATTAAGGATGGCTCAGCGTTTTGTTGTGAATAGCATCAAACGTTGATTTGCATATGAGAAAAAGAAATATATCTTATATTATCTAAATACTACAAAATGTATTTTATTAGGCTGTTTGTTTTTCATATTTTCTCTCTCCCTCTCTTTCAATCTAAGTATTGATACCATTATAATAGGTTCTAAAAACTTGGAAAAGTAATAATTCTGAAATCTCAGGAATCATTTAACCGTTTTAAATGCGTTTTGATTACCACAACCGTTTGGAGAATACTGTACTCTCGAAAGAGGTTGTTGTTGAGAGAAAACCTGGTAACCATAGCAGTAGTTGCTAAGATATTCTGCAAACAGTTTCAAGAATATTGTAGAATTATAAAATTACCTCTAACCAACCAGCTGGAGAACTCGAGGTAGGCATTGTACTGTCGCAATTTAAGCTTGTTTTGAAAAAAACAAACAACGTCTGCAGTTTGCTTGATTTTTTTTTATCACAAATATTAGGCTACTGAAGTAGTCATGATAAGCATAACAATTGTTCCGAGGAAAGTGAAATAAACAATTTTCTAGAATGTGACAGAAATATTTTGGTATATCAGACCAACACAAAAGTGCAACTGGAAAGCTTAGAGTGGCTAATGAAAAAGAAAATTGTTTGAAGTAATTAAAACAGTGGTTGCTAATAAGCTGAAATAAACAATTTTCTAGAATGTGGCGGAACCGTGCATCAGGTTATATAATATGCGTATAGTTAGGCTTATTTTACCTAGCTGTGTGGGTTCTAATCAGGTTTTTAGTTGCTTCTAAAATAACCACTCTATATTGGAAAGGGTTTATACAAAGTCACGAATTGAAAGCGCAGTATTTTGTGTTCTAAATAAGTATTTTTTTTCTAACCTCGCGTTTATTTATTCCGCTTTTACGACAGGAAAACTTACCATGGAGAAGTTCTGGGCGTTAGGACGTCGCCTTGAGTCCATATTCAGGAGTCCTTGTAAAGGTTCTTGTAGGAAATATGGTATCCTGTCAAGGAAACCACGAAGAGTTTGCTCTAGCTGAAACAATAACCAAACTGTAAACAAAATGTAAAGTAAAATAAAAGTTTGTTATTTTAGAAAAATATAAAGTTTCTCATAAACTGTTGTTCATGCAACACTATGACACGCAACGCTCCGACACAAGACTTTCAATGGAAAACACTTTTTTGGTTGCAAGAAAAGTATCCACTCTTTTTACAAATATTTTTTGGCTTACATATTCATCTCAACAACAAAGAACAATGGTTGTGTCCTTCTTTGTAGTTGTAAAGTATTCTGATAAAGGCAAAGTTTCGTGTAAAATGATATTTTTATTTTCAGTATTCTGTGATTCCACGGTGAACAAATTAAGAGGAGCAAACATTCGCAGTTAACTTGATCTTTACCAGAAATCTTAGGCCTATTGGTTTCTACTGCTTAGACAACTGTCACCAAAATTATAATAGATCATACTTCTCCAGCCAGTATAACATTAAACATTGTTTTTAAGCTATAACAAGTAGGCTTAATATTTGTCCAAAAATCACGATAGGATGCTGATGTTTCTCTTCTTTTATGCATTCGTCTTGTGAAACTATGTGCAGGTTTTGTGCTGCGTAACGTATAACAGTCGGCTGAGGTTGTATGTGTTTCGCAAGCAATGACTCCTTTTCTATTTATGGTTATTACTATTATTTGGTATTATTAGTTATATTATTTACGATAGCCTTGAATGTTTGCAATGTATATAACCTCTAATATATTATTGGGATTATGGCCGAAAATACCGTTAACAAAAAGGGTATCTAATGGTTTTTAATCACTATAGGACTTTTTTATCTTGTGAATTGGTTTATGATATGTAGTAGCTCTAGGTGGTTTATTAAATAGCATCGACTTCTTTATAATAATTATTTCTTCTGGTTTGTGAAGATTATTCTTAATCAGAAGTTCATAACAGTAAAATAATCAGGAACGTCGAGAGCCAGCACGGGCCCCGGGGCAAACATCCCCGCCGGGCCCCCTTTCTCTCTCTCTTTTTTT